AGTTTCCGAGTTGGGGGCGTGTCAATGAGAAACATGGCGGAATCGATGGATGCAACGTCTGTAGTTGATGGTAAATGTTTGTTTAAATTGATAGTTTTGATGAAGTTTTTATGTGATACAGATTAAAGTGGCTTCATAAATTACTTTTTAAAAATATTAAAAACGCAAAACACACCTGATGATAATTCTTTGCACTTCATTTTCTATAAGCAGAGTTAACAGACCCTGTTGTATTTTCTTATAATTTATTAAAAGAAGGTACACCGCCATCTTGTGCCGACTAAATTGACTTGAATGCACCTGACGTCGTAATTACGACTTGTCAACTCCTAAGTGTCCCAGGAGGACTTGAACGGGAGGACTTGAACGGTAGGACTTGAACGGTAGGACTTGAACGGGAAGACTTGAACGGGAGGACTTGAACGGTAGGACTTGAACGGGAGGACTTGAACGGGAGGACTTGAACGGGAGGACTTGAACGGGAGGACTTGAACGGGAGGACTTGAACGGGAGGACTTGAACGCAGCATTAGGCAGCAAAGAATGACGTTTGGATGGGGGCCATTATTGAACAACACTTCAGTGCAAACTCAATTGCATTATTGAGGGGTTTTCTGGCACTTTCAAAAGCAGCTTTTGTTGTGGGTCGTTGTTTTAAGATGAATCGTCCTGCATTTTCCAGCAGCGCATGCAGATTCCTTCAGGATTTTCCTGTATTTGTCCTTCCATCTTTACAGAATTTTTGCTATAGTTGTGGCAGTTTCCACAGTCCTTGTCTGTGACATGCAGCGACGTTTAAGATTTATAGTCTTTTAGTAATTTATATTTTACATAAATGTTTATAATCGTCTGATCTACAGAAAAACACGTTAATAAGACAGACTAGCATATATTTACAACACTTCAGTGCAAACTCAATTGCATTATTGAGGGGTTTTCTGGCGCTTTCAAAAGCAGCTTTTGTTGTGGGTCGTTGTTTTAAGATGAATCGTCCTGTATTTTCCAGCAGCGCATGCAGATTCCTTCAGGATTTTCCTGTATTTGTGTCCTTCCATCTTTACAGAATTTTTGCTATAGTTGTGGCAGTTTCCACAGTCCTTGACTGTGACATGCAGCGACGTTTAAGATTTATAGTCTTTTAGTAATTTATATTTTACATAAATGTTTATAATCGTCTGATCTACAGAAAAACACGTTAATAAGACAGACTAGCATATATTTGTACCTTATCAGTAGCAATAGAGCGGGGTTATAGTCGGCAAGTGAATATGTTACCGTAAATATATTTAACAACACAGTCCTTGTCTGTGACATGCAGCGACGTTTAAGATTTATAGTCTTTTAGTAATTTATATTTTACATAAATGTTTATAATCGTCTGATCTACAGAAAAACACGTTAATAAGACAGACTAGCATATATTTGTGCCTTATCAGTAGCAATAGAGCGGGGTTATAGTCGGCAAGTGAATATTTTACCGTAAATATATTTAACAATATTTCGTAAATATTGTTAAACAGATAATGAAAAGGGGAATTATAATAGCGAATTATTCATCAACTTTATGCAAAGGGTGTTTAGAGCTTGTTAAATGAGTCGAGTGTGAAGTTTATTATGAGTAGATTGACACGGTTACATCATGAATGCCGAGACTATCATCGCCAAAAACTGACATGTGACATATTGAGATGAATCAATAAAGACTATTGCCTTAAGAACAGAATGTCTTTGACATAGATATCCACTTTTCAATATCCAACCAACTCAGTGATAATATGTAATCATACATATCAGAGAAAAGAGAAAATGACAGACAAATTCACAAATATATAAAAATGCAATTGTAATAGGTACAGTAATCAGTCATTTTAAAACCCAACAAACCTCTTAATACTAACAATGGAAAAAAAACAGCAATCATTTGTAAGGTAATCAAATATATATATAATATATATATATATATATATAGTACTATATTAAGACCCAACATTATAAAAAGTAAAAAAAAAATGTATCTCCATTCACAAGTGAATACAAAAACGAGGTAAATACAAA